TGAGAAGAATTTGTTCCAACCTTTTGCTTTAATTCATCACTTGATGGATCAACTTTTCCAGAGAAAGTTCGTAATGAGAATAACTTATCTGAAGAGGAAGAATACATAATGAGAACTTGTTCAACCTTTGTTTGATTCTATCACAGAAGAAGATAGATCAACATCAACATTTCCAAAAGTGTTCATAATGAGAATAACTCATCTAAAGAAGAAGAAGAAGTTCATAATGAGAAGAACTTGTTCAACCTTGCCTTAATTCATCACATAGGAAGCCAATTTAACAACCCCTCTTTTGAAGATCAGTATTTCCAGAATTAGTTCATAATGAGAAGAACTCATCTGAAAAAGCTGAAGAAATTCATAATGAGAAGAATTTATTCAATTTTTTGCTAGATTACATCACAGAAAGAGATAAATTGTCATCCCCAGTGAAAAAATGAAAGAGTTCATAATGAGAAGAACTTGTTCAAAATTTCCATCCTAATCAAGTGAAGTTAAATGAAAAAACTTATTGTCTTTTCGTGTTTGCCCTATCCTCATTAACACAAGAATGAGAAAAGAGGGGCAGCTGAAGACACTAGTTTTTTCCATTTGGATTATTATTATTATTATTATTATTAAATAAAAAAAATTACAGACCCGACCCATTTACACTGGAGCCCAATTCTGGCCCAATAGATGACCCAAACCCTTTAGGGTTTATAACATTTTAGCTAGGGTTTTCTAGCCCTAGCCCCAGCTGTCAGTGATCCAGAATCCCCCACGCCGCCGCCACACTTGCTACCAAGTGCTCCAACCGGCCATTGCCGACAGTCAGCCACCCCACGTTGACACTCCACTGCCAGGTGCCCTAGCCAGTTGCTGCCACCTCGCCAGAAACCTCCAGAAGAGCCAGCTGCCCCCTCCACGTCGCAACTACAAAGGTGAGTCACCCCTATAGTTTGGTGACTTACCGAAGCCTCCTCAATTGCCCGGTCCGAGATCAATATCCTGGTGGCCTATAAAGGCCACCGATCCTGTAGAGAAGAAAAAAAAAGAGGGAGAAGAACCCGAGGACAACAAGCAACAACGAAGAGAAAAAAGCGAGAACTGGACAGAGACCAGCAACCACACAACGACGAACAACATCAACCCAGCAATCCAAACAATACCCACAGTAGCAAATCGAAAGCAAAGAGAGATAGAGACTTACCATCATCGGAGGACTTCGAAACGTCGTTGGAGAACAAAAATACCGAAGGTATAAACATTAGATCTAGGAAATTTTAAGGCTTTTTTGGAGAAAAGAAGGCCAGATTTGGGTTTAGAAAATTATGGCCTTCGATTTGGTGTATTTTGAGTTTTCCGGCCACCATGAACGTTGGTCGGCGGTGGTTGCCGGCGCCGGAGCACGACTGCCGGCCGGAATTGGCCTCCATCCGGTTGAGGGTTTTAGAGAGAAGGAAGAGAATTTTTTTTTCTCTCAGCTAGAGAGAGAATGAAAAGAGATGAAATGGGAAAATGGCCTTAAGGCCGATTTGAATGGGGTATTTATACCCTCACCAAACCGACGTAGTTTTGGTGAGGGGCATTTGTGTAATTTGAGAATGACCAAACCACGTGTGCAATCCCTTTAACTTTATAAAATTCTATTTTGGTCACCTGAATCAGTTTTTGCATATATATTAATTGTGTAATTGAATTTTATTTAGTTATAATTTAGTCATTAGCTTTATTTATATAATATTTAGGGTAAATACTTATTTTAGTCCCCTATAATTTTATTATTTATTATTTTAATCCCGTATTATTATTATGGTTAAATTACATTGTTAATTATTATATTACATAACATTTAGAATTAGGGCCTTTAATTTAGATATTTTATATTTTAATCACTAATTATTTTTACCACAAGTTTTTTATTTTATTATTTACACCAATAGTTTTAATTTTTATTTATTTTAGTCATTGTTTATTTATATTTATATTTTATATGTTTATTTTTAATATATTTAATTATTATTACTATTATTATTATTATTATTTAGTCATATAAATATATATATATATATATAATAAATAATATTTATTTATTTTATTTATTTTCTATTAAAATCCTTTTTATAAATTTAATTTTATAAATTACTTTTAAATTATTTTAATCAGGTTTTAATATTTATTTTTCAATATTAAGAAAGGACAGCCTTAAAACAGCTGGATGTCTATTTTCTGATATTTTTAAATAAATAAATATTTTACTTTTATAAATTATATATATTTTAATTGTTTTTAGATAAATATTTTATTAATATTTATTTATTTTTTAAATATTAAAAAATGGGCTGTCTTAAAACACCTAGAAGTTTTTTTCTAATATTTCTAAGTAAATAAATATTTTATTTATAAAAATAAAAAAAATATATATATTAATATATTTTCTTAAAATTATATTAATAAATTTGAAATAATAGGATTATGAATTAAATATATTTAAATTTTTAAATTTCCAATAATAGAGACAATTTATAATTAATGAGTACCAATTTTAGACGTTGTGGGGTGCTAATTCTTCCTCAAACGTAACCGACCACGAATCCTTTTTTTATCTATTAAAAAGAATGAATTTTTGGTTAAACGCAGACCGGTTTATCTTTTAAATGATGTTTTCTTAAAAACTCTTTTAAAAGATAATTTTTAGGTATTCGACCTACCTAACCCAAAGGGTCGATGGCGACTCCCAAAACATTTTTTAAAATCAAAATCATTTTTTTATTTACTTTACTTTCCCGCCAAGTAAAAATTTCGTACCCGGACGAAAACCGGTCACGACAAAGCCAAACATGAAATATTATACAAGCAATTAACTTGCTTTTAAAGATTCATAAATCCAGCCGCCTTCGATAACTGCCTCCCTGAGACTTTTTCAAGAACACTCCCAACGATAATTGCCTCCCTGAGATTGCATGTCCCTGACTGAAAAAGAGCATGCGAAAAAAATGGAGAACTTTAATGTTAAAATAGATGAAAAGAGCCTACCATACAATCCAACTATAATTCTCTAACACCCAGACAGAAGCCCAAATTTTATGTTATCCTTTTGAGAACAAAAAAAAAAGAGAGAAATCATGCAGCTGCAATATCAATCTGAAAGAGAAAACTTGAGGCTACAAAAGAAAGGGAAAATTGAAATGCTTAATGAAGATAAGGATAACTTGATTTGGTCAGGTAGAAAAAGTAGAGATAGAAGCAAAAGATTCATTTTGGTAGGAAGAAAGTTGTATACCTTACACAATGGAAACAATATTTGTTAAATGCAACAGGTATGTATAGAGCCTTCTTCCAAGAATGATATAGAGCAAAATGAAGTCGCTTATTCTTCCTAATATTATCTCTAACGCGAGGAAGCAAGACTAGCCTATAACGCTCTGCCTTCTTAGCAACCAAATTGGAAGCAAATATTCTTGTGGCTTGAAACATCGCATTTGGAGACCAATTCTCAGGCTGAGTCAAGTACAAAACATCCTCCCAGAGTTGCATTGAAGGAATGTGTTTAAAGGCTTTGGGCATTTTCCCCGCCGTGTATTTGTTCAGAAACTTGCCAACTCTGTACATTGAGTTCATATCCACATTTTAAGGGTTCTGCACTTTCTTTTATAGATAAGAAAATAATCTTACAAACAAAAGGGGAGGAATATTACCCCTTATACAAATCTATGAGAGAGTTGTCCAACTTAGGCATAGAACGTGTTTCTGCAATTTAACAAATTGAACCATCAAACCTCATATTTTTCATGAGGCAAAATTCTATCACAATATATTAAATAATCGACAATAATCAATTTAAAAAGTTACCTGAAGCAAATTTTGCATCATTCTCCTTGATCTTTTGAATTATAACGCCTGCAAGTGTTCTCTGTGGACCATCATCCTTTGATAAGAATGCCTCAAGCAATTTCTCATCATCCTCTTCAATTTGCTCCTATAACATAAAATAAGTAGTGTGTTTTGATTAACAAGAACAATTGCAATAGTCTGCAAACAGCAAGCAAAAAAATATACTAAGAAACTCCATTTGCTTGTTACTTCTGATACTTGCTTTATGCTATTTGCTTACATATCTCAAAATTGCTAAAAGGAGAAAATCATATTTGGCATTGTAACAAAACTGCCACATTTTCGACATAAAAATTAAATCTTTAACTGTTCATATTTGTAATCAAAAGGAAACAGTAACAGAAAATGAAGCCTAAGGACCAAAAGAGCATTCAAGTAAAGACAATTAGTTCGGAAATTAATGTTGAAAGTTTAATTAAATAAAATATAGTTACATCACAGTTGGAATTGCACGTCCAGCTCAGTTGGTAGAGCGTAAGGATCTTAATCTTGTGATCGTGGGATCGAGTCCCATGATAATCAATTCATAATTATGACTGCTGGGAGATCTCCCACGAACATCTCCTTGCTTTTGGAAGGTCCCAAATTGTAGAACCATGCCTAAAGAACTGTCCCATCTCCTTGCTTTCTTAATTGTTATTAAGCACCTGCATTTTCTTTTCGCCCCTCCACATATAAACTTTTTCATTGACTTGAAATATATCTCGATTCTCGAATAGGTGTCTAAACTATTTTTTAACTCATTCATGCCTAACATTATAAATATCATCCATTTAGGAGCTCAGACCGTCAACAGTGTTAATTTTTATCGTTAAGTGATGTGTCACACAGGGCCGGTCCTGACATTTTAAGGGCCCTAGGCAAAATAAGAGATAAGGGCCCTTAAAAAATAATTTAAAATTTAAGAATAAATTTCGGTAAACGCCAAACAAATTTTTTCATTAAAAATTATATAAGTAGATCCTATTACATTAACCAATATTATTTTATCAAATATATAAAGAGACATCACAACTTTTCACTCAATTTAAAAAATCCTTAAAGTGATACACCACATCCATGTTTCAAAGCCTTAAAGTGATCATTTTAAAAAAGAATATTCATGATAAATTTCAATACAAGGATACAGCTTTTGCATCACCGAGATCAGCATAAATGAATTGAAGCCTTCCGGGTTCTGGAAATAAGTCTTGTAGAACCTTGACGGCACCTATGTTTCCACGTGAAAGATTGTCCTACAAAAGAGGTAAATTCTTCCTTGAAAAATCCAGACCAATCATGCATAAGCTGTGAAAGATTACAAAAAAAGAATGATATTTCCGTATCCTAAACTACAAACATACCACAATAGTTACACGGTATGACTCCCTAAGAAGTCGTAAAGCAGTATGTGAACCAATATAGCCAGCACCACCAGTTACAAGAACATGAGTTACGCCTTCTTCGTGTTTGGAAAACTGAAAAGATAGAAGTCAATAAATGTCGGAAGTTGAAAATATACATAACTAAAAATGGCCATTGCTACGGAAACAACAGATGATGATATTAACCATATGCAAAGGGCAAATGGAACATCCATAATCAAGTGAACAGCTTGATTAAACTAAGCCAACAGCAAGCAATAATGAAGTCTTAACAAAAATGACATAGGGTCCTTCTATACTTATAGTTAGAACCAATGTTATTAAAACCGGACCGGACCAACCGGTTCGACCGGTTGAACCGTGAATCGGTGGCCTGTCCGGTCCGGTTAACTCCCAAAACCGGATTAGCACAAAACCGGTAAAGAACCGGAAGAATCGGTTGAAAACCGGGGTGAACCGGCTGAAAACCGGGAAAACCGGCTGAAAACCGGCAAAACCGGTTTGAACCGCCAGTTCACTTTTTTTCTTTAAAAAAAATTAAACCAAACAACGTCGTTTGTTCAACGAGCCGAGTCAGATTCGAATATTGCTGAGCTAGACTCGAACTCGAAAACTTTAAAAGTAAGCTCAACTCGACTCAAAAACTCACGAGCTAAAAATTATCAACTCGAAATATAATATTAAAACTTGAAATCGAAAAGGCTCGAACTCAAAAAAAAATTTAGAAGTTCGATTGAAGCCTAAAATTTGAGGTCAATTGAAGCCTAAAATTTGAGCTCAATTGAAGCGAAAGAATAGTTCGCTTTGTGCTCACCAAAAGGCTCCATGATTTTGAATGTCAAATTACCTCTACTATTTATAGAAGTAAGTTGGATGCTCTTCTATGTTTCTTAGCCATGTGGGATTGTTTTGTTCTCATATTTTCTCTTTAAACTTTTGGGATACTCTTCTATGTTTCTTAGCCATGTGAGATTGTTTTTTTTAAAACAATTAAACCAAATGACATCATTTGTTACGATTTTTTTAAACCCCAATTTTATTTTTTTGATTATAGTTATATAATTATATTTATTATTTAATATGTTTTACCTTAAATATTATGTTGTAGTTGATTTGAATCATTTTGTTTCACTTGATTTTATGGTTTTTCATTTATACATGTTATGACTTGTGATAGTTTTATACCTTTTAATATTGTAAACTTAAAAAAAGTGTTACATATATATTAATATTGTTTTGAATATTATGTAAAATTAAAAAAATATATTATTTTATATAAAATCCGGTTCAACCGCGGTTGAACCCGGTTGAACCAGTGAACCAATACCTTCACCGGTTCAATGTCCGGTCCGATTTTAAAAACATTAGTTAGAACCCCAGAAATATGTTCATGCATAAACTATGTAAAGTGAAAACAATAGCGAAGTTAAAATAATTGCTGATTAATGTTCAATTACCAAAGCTAAATAAATATCTGCGTGACAAACATTTGGAACAATCTTTTTATAACTGATGTTCTACAGAAAACAAATAGTTAGAACCATTATCAACCGCTCTTGTGCATTTTAAATTCAGCATTACAGAATTGCTCTTCCTTTTGGGGTCGTGATATTCCATGCCTACATGCAAACACAAACAACCATTGTAAATTCAGAGAACCTTTTCCCCATCTTTAAATCATTATAAAGAGAAAATAACCTCAGTGACCAAAAATCTCATATAATATACGATTTTAACCAACTTTTTCCGGATTTGCCAAAATGACCAACAAAATCGCAATGCGATCGCTAATTCGCAACGCGGTTTCCATTATCGCAAATCAGTTTCCAGATTCGCAACGTGATTATTACTATTGCAATGCGATTTTCCAATTTCGCGTTGCGATTTTCCCAATTCGCAATGCGAATAAGTAAATCGCAATGCGAATTTGGAAAATCTCAATGCGATACTGACTATCGCAACACTATAATATAAAATCGCAATGCGATACTGGCTATCGCAACGCGATAATACAAAATCGCAACGCGATACTGACTTTCGCAACGCGATACTGACTTGCGAATCTGGAAAATCGCAACGCGAAATTGGAAAATCGCATTGCGTTAATAATAATCGCGTTGCGAATCTGGAAACTGATTTGCGATAATGGAGATCGCGTTGCGAATTAGCGATCGCATTGCGATTTTGTTGGTCATTTTGGCAAATCCGGAAAAAATTGATTAAAATCGCATATTATATGGGATTTTTGGTCACTGATTATTTTCTCCATTATAAATGCATTAAGGTGCAACCAAGTCAACTCAACCATGTCTTAAACTGTAGACATAACAAAATACACTTTTTCTACACTCAGTAACAAATTGCTACAAAGATATTGAAAGTAAAGGGTAAACTGTAAATGAAATGAAGTTGTTTTCTTTTACTCACCTCCTTTTTCAAGATTTAAACTTTCTAAATGAAAACTGCATGAATAAGTCTCATGACAACGACATTAACAACAACAACTGTCGAAATCATAAATATAAATGAAGAGAAATTGGGTTGGAAATTTGGAATTGAAGAAGAGAGATGTTACCAGCAAAAGGCATAGATCTGGTAGACCTTTGCTGGCTTCTTCCTCTAGCAAAATTTAGCATCTGAAAAAAAAGCTTCCTAGAACTTGTCTTAAGCTGGCAACAACCTGAACTTACGCCTCAATTTCGGTAATCAACCAAACACCCTTACTCGGGAATGTTGTTCTGGCAAAACTGCAGCAAAAAGTAAAACAAAAACAACAATTTCTATCACATTTCTGAAATATTAAGAGATCCATAAACCAAAAGAAGAAAAAGGTTAAAAATATTCAATATATGGGCTCTCCACCTACTGAATAAAACAACAAAACCCACCGAAAATGACGATATGCAAAAATATTAATCCAAATAAAAACAGATAAATTGATAATCAATCATTTTATTCTCATTTTATTGATCATAAACAAACCCAGAGAGGAAAACCAAGTAAGGAACCCAAATGACCCATAAAAACAAGAAATGAAAAATACCCATCAACGGAGTTCGATCGTTCTCAAAAAGAGCAAGGGAATTAAAAGTCGTCATAAAAAGATAAATGAAGAAAAAAAAAACCCCAGCTTTAATGGAAGAACAACAAAGAAAAATGAATGGAATTTACCTGAAAATAGAAATCAAAGAACATAAACATGGGTTGAAGGTGGCCAAAAAAAATACCAAATGAAGAAATTGAGAGCCGATCTAATATCACATATATAATAAATACAAATGTACAAACAAAGATTTTTTTCAAGAATCTAGCACAATATGATATTTTAAAATTTATTTTTTAAAATTTTATTATAAAAAGCTTAATTTCTCTTCAATTATAAAAAAACTCTAAAGTACCTAAAATCCTTAAATCTTATTCTTAACCCGTCATCGCTGCTCTTTTCGGTCACAACCACCGCCTCCGACGTAGTCCCTACAATCCTTCTAGTCATATATTGTCGTAATTGTCATCGATCAGTCATTGAGATCACTTGGGATTACGATTTTTCATTCTGGAGTTCGCGGGATATAAAACATTGATCGACCATCGATCGATCACGATTTAATAGGAGGTTTTGGTCGTCTTGGGAGATGAGATCGGACGGAGCTTCGTCGAAGGCAAAAGACGACGACGGACGTAGGTTTAAGAGTTGAAACGAAGGTTTTCAATGTTTTGAGATTATTTCAAAAATGTTTATGTTTTTCTTTAAAACAATAAAATTTTATTTTTTTATTTTTTAATAAAAATTTTAAAAGCAACAAATTCGACACGTGTCACTTAAGGTAATATTAACGTCATTGACAACTCGAGCATCTAAATAGGTAACGTTTGTAACGTTTGTAACGTTTGACACCTAGACGAGTAAAAGAATAGTTTAAACACCTATTCGGTCTGAGCAATTAAAATGGAAATAATTTTTTTAAGAATCTCATCAATGTCAAGGAAAAGCATAGATTTGAGAACTCTTAGCGAGCAAATTTTATTAATTCACTTCATTAATTTTTATACATATATTGTTTATATAAAGCGGAGATGAGTACTTATATAAATTTAGGGATGTTAACAGTTCACGTTTGTCGTAACCGTCTTTCGGTTGGGCCCCGAAATTGGGCTTCGACTTGAAAAATGTGAATTGGAGTCGCCACCGATCATTTATTTAAAACAAATGGGTTGATCGGATACCATATTTCTTACCTGATCTGCATCTTTCCAAATATGTGTCAGGTTCGGGAGTCAGTTACTGTCAAGGAAGGATTAGCACCCTTGAACCGTTCTTTCGGTACTACGTAATTTCCAATTGTCTTTGATTAAGAAATTTGCAAGTTAAATTAAAAGGTAAAATTTGATCCGAATTACTTACCCTTAATGAGTTTACGAAAATACCCTTAAAAATAAGATTTTAAAAGAAAATAATAATAATAAAAGAAAGTAACAAAACTAAAGAGTAAACCAAAAAAATAAATGAAACCAATAATAATAAACATAAAATAATTTGATGAAAAAAAATAAAATTGAATAAAATAAAATAAATGAAGATAAAATATATATACAAAAAGAATAAAAAAGGTAAAATATTTTTTTTAAAAAAATAATAATAAGAGCAAAAAAACTAAAAATATAATGAAAATAAATAAATAGTATAAATAAAATATTAAAATATATATATATATATATAAATATAAAAATGTATGTATAATATAATAAAATACTAAATAATAATAATAATAATAAATAAATAAAAAATAAATATACATATAATATTAACTAAAAAAATAGTAATCATAGAAATATAAAATAAAATAAAGTAAGAATATATATATAACGTTAGGAAAATATAGTAAAAAAACATAGTAAATAAGTAAACTAGATAAAATAATAATAATATATATATATATATATAATAGGAAAATAATGTAATATAACGCAAAAAAAATTATAATAAATAAAATATAATTAAATATATATATATATATATATATATATAAATAGTAAGGGTTAAATTAAAATAAAAAATGAATTACAGGTCAAAATTAAAAGCCAATCGAAGAAAAAAAACGACAAAACACACGGATCCACACGACCCGTTTATAAAAATCCGAATAGTTTTTCAAAAACACAAGCCTTGGGGACTAGATCTACAAAAATAGATCTCGAAAACGCCCCCGTTCATCGGCCAAAAACATTTCTCTCAGTTTTCTTTCGAAATCAAAACACAGCAAGGGTAAGAAAAAATAACATGCAAAGGTATGAACTTTACCTTTCAAAATATAAATGCTTTGAAACATGACTACAAGTTGCTTATAATTTTTTGCTTGGTATTTCGTATATCCTCCTCCGAATGTGTTACAATAGTGAGTTAAAATGACTATTTATAATGCTTGTGGATCCTATCTTTAAAAGTTTAAATAATAGTAGAACTCTATCCTATTTTTAGGAGTTTGAATCATAACAAAATTCTATCCCATTTTTAAGAGTTTGAATCCTAGTAGGACGAAAAAGTGTGTTGACAACGTTATACGGATTTTTACGTGTTATTGAATACTTATAAAGGTTTCCACTTCCCACAAAAATCGACTTTCATAATCTAGTACTAATATTGGAGAAATTTGCAGTACATTCAAACTCATACATAATTTACAGACGACAAAACATCACAACAAGAAAGCTAGCAGGCAAATATGTTGTCTAAGGGGAAAAAAGAGCAGGATCATAGATATTTTGGCCCCATTATTCCACAGCATTATCACTTGCGATCGCTCAAGTTTAATGTACAGAACATATCTAGAAAATAGGGTATGCAACTGGAATCCTCTAACTCCATACGATTCTTCGGAAAGGAAGGGCACATCGCTGTTTGTAATCCGAACAAAAATGAAAGAAGCAAAGTCAGCTAATTAACTAAACAACTGAAAACTAGCACACTGCATTAAGTTCTCCTATCTATATAATCCAGAAGGCAAACAGGCCTGTATGTAAGTATGCCGGTTATGTGCACATGCATATCGAGAGAAAACGAGGCAGAAAATTTAATATTGTGAGGAAGGGTAACCTTTGTCAGTATTTTGAAGTCTATCATTGACCATCGTTCCTCGAAAAATATCATTGACCATATTCTGATCAGGACTGCTGTGCAGGTATCCAACAGGAGGTTGCATAAAGAATCCTGCCCTTCCATCCCTGCAACATCCAGTGATTGTGTTCATCAATTACAAAATCTTTGTGGTACCAAGCCTTCAATATTTTCCGAAGTAACTTCATTAGCTCCTGGTTCAATGGAAGTGGCTCCAACCCTGATCTTGTCATCCGAATCTGCCATTGCTTGTACGTCTCTGGCCTCTGCAACCTCGCAGGGCCCTCGCATGCTATAACATTCACTGCTTCCTGCCCGTAAAACTCACTCTCGAACATCAACCTTGCAGGCTCATCACGAGGTAATGTGTTATCAAACATATCGAATACAGCAGAAAGATGGAAGAGAGCTTCCCTGAATCTTGTAACAAAGAAGGGAGAGTTGTAAGATCCATTGATTATGGAGTGAACGAAAATGTCAGGGTTCATTTTCCGGATCAACTTTAGCACGGCATTCCTCGGACAGTCCACCTCAGCAGTCTCGTCAAGCAGATTCTCGAATCGAAAAAGAGAATTTACAGCAAGGAACTCATTGCTATTAATCTTGATGTCCTCTATACGAAGAGATTCCCAGTTTTGAGCTGCTATAGCCTTGTACTCAAATGGAACATTAAAGCGCTTGCAATAATTTGCTAAGCGACGACCTGTTGCCTCAATCCTTTCTGTTGGGCGGAAACCACGTTGGGGAAGCTCGATTCCAGTTATGCGTAGCTTAGGAGGCCCACCAGGTCTCTTCGAGAGATGTTGGATAAGAATAGGCCACTGGAAACCATACAGGATACCGAAATCTACAATATGAAGGGCACTTGCGCTCCCAGCCATGTGGTAAATCATTTTGTTTCCATACATAATTGGTAGCTTCTTAAACGGACAAGCACTAAGGTATCCTTTGTAAGACTTCAACATATCAGCAGCTGTTGACTTCTTGGAAGCTAGAGACGCATAAAAGTTTTGTATTACAGTTCCACTACCATCCAAGCGTGCCTCAAGGCCATTCGCAAAGACATGAGCCAACCTCTGAGTTCCATCACCGAGAGGAGTAGAGTTGTCTTTAATCTGCTTTAGTAGTTCGGCAGCAGTTCTATGATCATTGGAAGATATAGCCTGTGCACAGAGTATTAGAAGAGTCCTTAAGTCCACCGTTTCTTTCTTCCCTTGTTTTCTAGACCGAGTTTTCCTGACACCGGCTCCATTTGACTGTTCTTTCTGCTGCACGGCTTTAGTTTCTCCGCGCTGCACACTTTCATCATAAAAGCAACAGATAGGTTGACCTTCAGGATAGAGTAACACCTTATCAAACAAATCCGACAATTCGGTCTCTTCTGTATAAGTTGCGGATTGCTTGTTACTCCTCTCTTCTTTCGAATCCTCGAGATCCCGTTCATGATTTTTCCTACCCCTCAACCCCTCATGTGAGTGCTCCTGCTCTTCCTTTCCCACCTTGGCGACAGCATTTGGAGCCTTCCCCTTTTGCCCCATTGGAAATGTATTGCTTTCGAGATCAATAATCAGTTGATTACTACTCGGGAGGAATTTACTGGCTTCCTCGAACCCTCGTTGGAACTGCAAAACAGATTCCTTATCATTGAAGATGTTCTGAGCTAGAAGCTCGCTCACGGAAGATTTCATTGTCCCATCACCCGTGTTACTCAACCTATTAGTTGAGTTGACAGGAAATTGTAAACTCGGCTCTTGCAAAGTGCCCTGGAAATTGTAGTCACCACTAAGAGGAGTTTGTAACAACGTAGGCACCGGCTCTCGAACCTCACCAACTCCCTGATGATCGATATAATTACCAGTTCCATTACTGGTGGCAATAATAGCAGCATTCGAATGGCCATTAGTAGTACCAGAAAGATTACTTTCAGGACTCCCCAAATCTAGATTGAGCAAAACTTGCGGTTGGATAGTTTGAGGATATTGCTCACCAAGGACTTCATATAACGATTTCTCGGTATCTTTAAGAGCCAAATAGTCATTAAACATATGAGGCTCCTCCAAGTTCTCTTCCATGAGCATCTGGGTTATGTACTTGAGAACTGGATCAGTTGAGTCGCTGTCATCCGATGGCGACAAAGACTCCCCTTCCAGACTCCAGCCTGTGGATGTCGAGTTCGAGTTCCCATCGGTACTTATAGAATCCGGCTGAAGAAGAGCACCAGATCCAGGTTCAGAAGGCGCAACCGGAACATTCATACTCATATTCACAAAGTTAAGATCTGGAGAAGGGTCAATGAACTCGAATCCGATTGTTCCATTCGTGTACTGACCAGAACTGAGTTGAAATGTATCATCTAAATCCTCAACACTAAATCCGTTTATATAATCAGAGAATTCAGTGGATTTCGGCTCCATGGCCATCTAATACAAACTCAATCCTGCAAAAGTCCAAAAAAAAAAAAAAGAACATCAAACATGGGAAAAAATCTATCTATAATTGATGTATTGCAAGACAAGAGGAAACCGAGTTTGGCTATCCCACTAAATAAAGCTAAACCAAAAGGCCCAAAAAAAACCATGGAAATTGATAACATGTGAAATAAGCAATGTGTTCTCATAAACAATTGGTTCACGGGAACTACTAGCGAAATCCAAGGTACAAGGATATTAGATCTATTTAATTTGCTAGCCTATACATAGCTATAACGACTCTATGTCTGATACCCTATAAATATCCTTAAGCTTGCTCCGGCCGCGGTTATTCGCGCAAATCAAAAGAATTGAACGGTCAAATACCAACGAGATAATATAATTCTCATCAACACTATGCATTAAAGGAACAACCTTTCATGGTGATCCGAACACTAAAACCTTTAAAGATTCAAACTTTCGGATATTTAAACAAACAAGATGATCAAAGCTTGGAAACGGGAACAAATAACATAAAGAAACGATTCAAACAAAGGGAAACAACTACAAGAGAAAGACCTAATTCAAGAACAAGTAGTTAAGCACAAACGTACTAGAGGTATTTGCAGAACACTTTTCCGAAGAAGAAGAAGAAGAAGCTGGTGATCCTGAAGGGTAAAGCTGGCCTCTAAGATACAGAGGATTGTTTAAAAAGGCCTGTCGAAATTTCAACATAACATGAGAGACTTTGGGAAAAGTGATCAACCCATAATTTTAGCTAATTTTGATTGGTTAGTCAAAGGCATCTTCTTTTGGTGCATCCTATCTTTATCTTTTCTGATAAATCCAACTCAAGTAAATGTTTTCAAACAATGGCTTAATATACAAATAGCCCCTGAAATACGAGTATTTTATTAAAAACACCCTTTTGAATTTTATTTATGAAACTGCCACTCATTTGCCGTTATTTATAATAAAAATACTCAAACAAGTGAACAACACTCATTCGCCATTATTACCTCATAACTTATGGTCTTCAATTCATTATCAAGTCATCACTTTGGATGAAAAATGAGTGGGATGAAAATGAAAATGATGAAAAATATTAAAGGTTAAAATTAATAAAAAAAGTAATTTAAGGGCGAAAGGTAGCAATATGCACACTTCAAGGATGATTTTACAATTAAACCTTAAACAATTATTTTCTCACACCACAAATGCAACTGGTACAATATAACATTATTTATGAAGGATTTTAATAGATTAAATCTTGGTTTCATTTATTTATTATGGTAAAGTTTATAGACTTTAGATTGAAAAGAAGTGTTATTATGGTAAAGAAATGGAGTAGACTTGTTACCCAAGTAAAACCAGAAATTCCAAGATTCATTGCCAAAAGGGTGTTGTATCGGTCATAAATTTCACCCAGGAAAAAAAAAATCAAAGTAAGCCACCAACTCAACAAATAATAAATTTCAAAAGATAATTATATTTTAAAGGACAAATGATTCTTTTTCTTGCTGAATTAAATTTGACTGGAAAAAGCGTTGTACTGGATTTGGTACCTCTTTTTATTGCAATAAACAAAAATTTACCACAAAACAAACGCCTAAGCAACTTTCAGCAGCTAAAAGTTCCACCCAATCCTAGCTTTACAAATGTTTCATTTTTGTTTTCATAATAAATAATCAAATTTTATTATATTTTTTTATTTTTATTTTTTGTCTATCTAATGGTCATTTTTGTTTATTCTTCCTTTTTCTTAGAGTTTATTTCTTGTGCCGACGATTGATGGTCAAACCTCTTTTTATTATTTATATGATTCTTGATTGGAAAGAAAATTCAAATCAAAATAGTAAAGCCACCGGTTGGTTTCACAAAGCTTAGCTTGGATCGTGAATCTAGTCAAACTTCAAAACCACTGCAGCGATCGACGTAGTACAGTGAACTTTTGTGCAAGAAACTGAAAGAGAGAGGTGATGTTGGAGAACTTGTCATCATTATTACGTTGAACTCAAGTCTTTGGGATTGTTTCAAGGTTTTAGTTCAAATTCTTACGCTCCTTTTCAATGTCCTGGAATTCAACAATTCTAGAACCCTTCTTCAAGCAAACTCTGTAACTTTCTTGAATATTTGTTAGCCATGTAATTCCTCAAAATCAATTAATTCTGTTTACTTTTGTGACCAACAATTATGGTTACTTTGGAAACATGCTCTGTTTGATTGATCAGTTGCATAAAGTAAGTCCTTTAATTATTGGCGTTATTATACTTGAAAACTCCATTAATTGTTTTTTTTAACAATAACCCCCTTTAGAAAAAATGCCCCCAAACTACACAAGTAAGACTACTCACATCCTATCCGGCGTCTCGCATTTTATAAGATGCGAGGTATTGTGTACTTTTCAGATTATCCAATTTAATATGATTATTTAATACCTCATGTTTCTCAAAACACGAGGTCATCGAGAAATTGAAAAATCATCATTTGCAAACGTTTCGAGATTTAAAATTAAAAAAAAAATTCATACCTCGCGCTTCGTATAACGCAAGGTACCTTTTGTCCCTCGCTTTGGGGGGAGTGTGAGGACCACTATAAATAGGCTTTCCATCCGCTCGAATTCCTCACACCTTCATTAAAAACAACTCTCTCATATATTATTTCTCTCATATTATTATGGCTAGACTACTGAGGGTTGATCTTCCGCATGTATGCACTTACCGACGGGAAAATTTGGCAATAATTTTTATTTATTTATTTATTTATTTCAAATTTATTTATTTATTTCAAATTTGTGTATTCATTTATTTCTAATTTATTTATTTATTTTGAATTTATTTATTTATTCCACTTGAATTTATTATTTATTTAGGAATTTTGAATTTATTTATTTATTTGTTTGTTTGTTTTGAAATTATTTATTTATTTATTTGAAGGGAATTGAACGTTCGTTGATGAGTTTTATCAACCGTTTCCCGTCCCCTAATGACGATATTATTCCATACTTGCACGAAGCTGGTTTAGGTTACATTGGCACCGTAACTAGTGGTATAAAGTTGCACCCTCCATTGATAAACGCGTTGATTGAACGGTGGAGATTGGAGATGCACATATTTCATTTTCCTTGTGTGAAACCGATTATTACCCTTGAAGATGTTGCATACCATCTTGGGCTGTCTATTGGAAATCCTATTACCGGTATGGTTCATGAGAACTGGGGAACCTTGTGTGAGGAACTGCTCAGAGTTACTCCGATGGAGGAGGATTTGGATGGAGGGAAGATCTACATTAAATTTTTGGGCGACAATTTTGTGCAGCTCCCCATCGATGTTGCTCCAAAAATTAAATAGGTAATTATTTAAATATATGTTTATTTATTGTAATTTATTTATTTATAATATTTAATTTTTTTTTAGTTTATGTTATTGTAATTTTTTATGATAAATTTTTAATGTATTCACATCATTTTTATTTTACAACAATTTGTTTGTTCTCATATTTTACAAGTTATTGGAGGTCTTGATTCCTGATAAATCCCGAAACAAAGTGCATCTGACGTGGTTGTATCATCTACACAATTTTCACGCCTCTAAAAATAAGAGTTGGGGATCGACAATGTTGGTTTTTTTGTTATGTAAGCTATGTTAAGGTGTTAATCCGAACAATCAAGTACTTGTAGGTTGTTTGTTCTTGTTACAATCATGGGCTTGGTTTCGAATGCCGTTTTTTAACGCCGATTCCTTTACAATCGACCCCATTACAATTTCCTCTACTTCATAGGTAATTACAAATAACTTACTTTTATATATTTATTACTACATGTTTGTTTAGTTTTATAAATAATTATATTTTATTATATGAATGATAGGTGAACCGTCACATTTATTCACACCCATCTACCAAAAATTATGTGTGATTTTATATTTTCGATCGATAAAATGACAGACGAGGGAATCAAATTTATAATTTTAATTTGTAAATTAAATATCAATTTTTTATTCGAGTTTTTCTAACATAGTTTAAAAACATTTGTGTTGTTCGTGTGGACGTCGTACAGTGACGATGTTATTACAACGTGTACTCCAGATGAGATACGTCACATTTCACACATTTGGATGTCGGTGGTCCCATTGATAGTCTATGAGATCGTTGAGTGGCATCCTATTGATCACATGTTGCGGTAATTTGGCCATGTCCAAATGATTCCGCCACCACCAACAACCTTGGATACGGTCTTGCATCGCCTAACGCGACAGAGGAAGATGAATGTTAATTAAGAGGTGTATCATGTGGATTGGGTGATGTTGGCAGCCCGTTTCCGAACCCATCTTAGCCTACGGTGTTTTAGATGATTACATGTCATGGTACGAGCAAAATGGGATAATGCATATACTGACCAAGTAGGAGAAAGCGCGAGACATTTATAGGCCTCCCCAAAACTGTCCGCCCACGCAATGTCCTGCGATATAACGTCCCCTGACGTAACGTGGTACAAGTCACAGTAGACGATAACACGTTCAACCCTTATAATCGGGAACAACACAAGAGCCACCTACAGAGCATCAGACATCGCTGACGGCACCTAAATTCATCCATTCGACTCAGTTAGCATTTCAGCATATGGAGACTCCATCATCATTTCAACATATGACGCGACCGACGAAAGGTTTTTCGCCGACGCGTTCCATTCTTATCCTGCGGTCTTTTTCCATTCTCATTACTCTCTTGCACCAGCTGAACCATATTATATGTCACCTCTGTGCGCATCTATTCGACCATTGGCAACATATTTTGGATCCAACAGTGTTGAGCTCCACCGTAGAGCATGTTCTACACCGGTCTTGGTCCTAGTGGTAGTGGTGGTACTTGTTGAAATAGAGAGAAGAGTAAAGAGAAACAATGGCTTGAGTTTTCCATTGATTAAGAGTGAATATATATACACAAAATTGGACACATAGAAATAGGAAACTAGCCTAGAGTTAGGGGATTACAACTAATTACAAGGCATAGAAATAGGAGACTAGCCTAGAGTTAGGGGATTACAACTAATTACAAGAATATTATAATTGATTACAATAATTTAAAATATAGATAAAATCTATTATAATTAATTCTCTAATATGCCCCCTCAAGATGGAGCTCCGGAGGAGACACCAATCTTGACCCTTAAATCTTGGAATCGGCTTCGTGGAAGCGGTTTGGTAAGAGCGTCGGCAAGTTGATCTGCTGAGGAAACATGAGTAACACGAAGAGCACCTGATTGAACTTGACCCCGAATAAAGTGATAGTCAAGTGCCACATGTTTCATGCGCGAATGAAAGACTGGATTAGAACAGAGATAGGTGGCACCAACATTGTCGCAGTAGATAACAGGCGGTGTAGAAAGAGTGATGCCAAGTTCTGTGAGAAGGGAACAAATCCAATTGAGTTCAGAAGTAGTAGCGGCAACTGATCGATACTCAGCCTCCGTGGAGGATCGAGCAACTGTACGTTGTTTCTTGGATGACCAAGAAATAGGATGACGACCAAGATAGACAATATAGGCACTCGTTGAGGTATAATCATCTTTGTTTCCAGCCCAATCAGCATCTGAGAATGCATGAAGGGAAAGTGGATTTGCCTTGTGAAGGAATAATCCATGAGTTAATGTGCCACATAGATATCGAAGCAGTCGTTTTGCAGCATTCCAATGTTCAGACGTCGGGCGATGCATGAATTGAGAAAGCTTGTTGACAGCATATGCTATGTCTGGGCGAGTGAGGCAAAGATACTGTAGACTGCCAACAATTGTTCTATATTCTGTGCAGTCAGTTAGAGCTGTACCTGAATGAAGTGTAAGATTTCCATCTGTAACAAGTGGTGTAGCAACAGGTTTTGCACCAATCATTTTTGTCCGGGCAAGAAGATCAGTGATGTAGCGCCTTTGAGTAAGCAGCAGACCGGATGGAGTAGTTAGAACCTCAATGCCGAGAAAATAAGACAATGTGCCAAGATCCTTGATTGAAAATCTTTGTGCCATGAGGTCAATGTAGCGCTGAATAATATTGGTGTTGGTGCCTGTGATAATAATGTCATCCACATAAACAAGTAGATATAGTAGTGTCACCTGAGTGAAGAATGAATAGGGAAGTGTCTGCTTGAGAGTTTGTGAACCCAGACTCAATGAGGAATTGGTGAAGTTCAAGGTACCAAGCCCGTGGGGCCTGCTTGAGTCCATATATTGCCTTCTTTAGTTTGCATACATGTGTTGGATTGTCTTTATCAACAAATCCTGGAGGCTGGGCCATGTAGACATCTTCGGAAAGATGGCCCTGAAGAAAGGCATTATTAACATCCAATTGTCGCAATTGCCAACCTCTACTGACTGCCAGGCTTAGAACAAGTCGTATTGTTGTCGGCTTGACAACCGGACTAAAGGTGTCATGATAATCCACTCCAGGTATTTGATGAAAGCCTTTTGCAACTAATCTAGCTTTGTACCTGTCAATAGAACCATTAGGAAGCCGTTTAATACGAAAGACCCACTTACATCCAACAAGATTTTGCAGAGAAGTAGATGGAACAAGCTCCCAAGTTCCATTCCGAACAAGAGCATCAAACTCATCATTCATAGCTTGTCTCCATTTGGGATCTTTTAGGGCTTGAGAAACAGTATGAGGCTCAATGTCTGATGGTTGAGAAATGATAGCAGTGAGGTTTATTTTGGTTAGGGGTTTATGGATGTTGTTTTTCGATCTAGTGGTCATGGGATGGGTATTTTGATGGGTGGGTTGCGCTATGATTGAAGCAGAAGAGGTCTCAGAATTGTGTGGTTCTAGTGGTAAATGGTCGACGATGGTTTCTTGGCGATTAACCGAGCTGTGTTCGGGTAAAGGGAGGTCTATGGATAGGGATCGACGGTCGACTGATGAGGAAGGGCAGTGGTCTGTTTGGGTATTTTGTGACGGATGTTGACATGAGGAATCCCTTTGTGGAGGCGTATTGAGTGAGCCACTTGAAATTGGTAAAATTTGGACCGGGGGAAGCCATTTGGAAATGATCTCTGGGGTGGGACGCGCTAGATGGATTTGGTGAGTGCTAAAGGGAAATGAGTTTTCAAGAAATTTGACATGACGAGAAATGTATATTTTAGAAGTGGATAGAGCGAGACAGATATATGCACTTTGTGTTAAAGAGTAGCCAAGAAAAACACAAGGAGTGGAACGAGAGTCAAGTTTGTGCTGAGAATAAGGACGAAGCCACGGATAACATAAGCAACCAAACACCCGAAGTTTAGTGTAGTTGGGTTGAGACTCAAAGAGTTTCTCAAAAGGAGATGAAAATGTAGTGTGGGTGTGGGCATACGGTTGATGAGATATACAGCAGTGGCAAAGGCATAAGTCCAATAAGTTAAAGGCATTGATGCATGAGTAAGGAGAGATAGACCAGTTTCAACAATATGTCGATGACGTCGTTCAGAAAAACCATTATGTTCTGGTGTATGGGGTGGTGTAGTAAGATGTGATATACCATTGGTGGAGAGAAAACGATCAAGGGCTTGATATTCACCACCATTATCTGAATAGAGGGTAATAATTCGGTGTTTAAATTGGTTTTCGACTAATGCCTTGAAACGTACAAAGACGTCATGCACATGAGATTTTCGTTTAAGGGGATAATACCAAATATATCGTGTATAATGATCAACAAAAATAACATAGTATTGAAAACCATCAACAGAATAAACAGGAGAGGTCCAGACATCAGAAAAGATAAGTTCAAGCGGGTGAGATGAAGTTAAGGTAGAAGAAGAAAATGGAATTTTATGACTTTTATTGCATGAACATGCATTGCAATGTGTGAAGGAGGATAACGGACTAGACAATGGTAAAGGAAATTTGGAAACAATATTTTTCATAATAGTAAATGACGGATGACCTAGTCTAGAGTGCCACTCGGACGAAGTGGTCTTGACACTGGAAAATGCAAGCAATGGTGAAGAGGAAAGTGAAGGGGATGTAGTCGGCCACTCATATACGCCATCCTTAGGTTCACCCATCAAAAGGATTGTCCCCGTGTTTAGATCCTTCACCTGAAAAGCAGAGGGTGAGAATTCAACAGAAACATGGTTATGAGTGCAAAATTGATAAATCGAAATTAAGTTCTTTTTCATGGAAGGGACACAAAGGACATTTTGTAAAGTAAAGGTGCGAGAGGAAGTTGGTATGGTGGTAGAACCAGTATGGGTTATGTGAAGGGCCGATCCATCGCCAATCATGACATCATCAGATCCTTGGTACGAGCTATGAAGAGAGAGATTGCTCAAGTCAGACGTAACATGGTGAGATGCTCCACTATCCAGCAGCCAAGT